CGCGTACCAGGATATAGGAACATGAGGACACCCTGGGGATCACACAGCACACGGAGCTCTTGCTCCTGCAGCCCACACTGATCACACACCCGGCCTATTCACCCTCTCTGAGGGCGACACAGCCTCCCCTGCCTCAACCCGATGACGGAACCGTGGCGTAGTGCTGGCTGAGAGTAGGGTTCAAGTCAGGAGTCTCCAGTCCTGGTCCTGCAGGGCTACTGGAAACAGCTGTCCGAGTATAACTGGGGGCACCTGTGAAGGAATCCTAGGGTGCTGAGGACAAACAACTATTTTATGAGCTAAAATACTAACTTTTCCCACCATGTAATACAAATAGATGACTTTCATAGCTGTACACTTCAATGAACCCGGTGCTGGCCAGAGAAGGACAGGCACCCTCTTTCGAGCCTTGGTTCCTCTCAAGGTTTCTGCCTACTTTAATCAGAGGGAGTTTTTCTTGCCACCCTCGCCTTAGGCTTGCTCACTGGGTGGTTCAGGCCCGGAAATCTGTAAAGCTGCTTTGTGACCATGTCCATTGTACAAAGCGCTATACAAATAAAACTGAATTGAACTGAAACAAAACAACTGCTCCCCCAATATGACACAGGCAGGATTCTGGGATATTTCAATTGGCAGCTGGCGGGGATTTTGAAATTGATTCTCCTCTAGCAACTAAATGGGGGAAAAAAAACAGGCTGAATGGCTCTGCTTATTCGTACCCCTGGTCTGCGTAGTCAAATAGTCAGCCTGGGAGCAGAAAGCACAAGGTTTGACGTCTCCACAGGCTCTCCTGTCTGTACAATGGTTTCCAAACAGGAGAGCAGCTGATGAAAGGTGCACTTAAAACAAGCAACCGGCAGAGATGGAGAGACAGTCTGTCTTTGGGGCGGAGACTCAGACTATTCACTGCTGTTCCAAGACACAGGAACCTTTTTTGTGCTACAGCTCCAGTTGAGGACAATTAAAAACATTTCCACCCACTGCCTTGCTTACTCACAATCTTTGATTCTGTCTTAAAACATGTACTCTGGTAAGTGTTCAGCTAACAGTATGAAGAGCATGAAAAGAAACATATTGTACTTACCACAGCATTTGGGATCATTTCCTATTTGCTAGAATTACTTACAGGTCCGTGGACAGAAAAATGGAATCACTTATGTAAAGTCACGATAAAGGCTGTTTGGGCACCAGTGGTGGACAGTATGACCAGTATGAGCTGTGGCATAGTCTCCCCGTGTCTAGAACTGTGCAGGAGGGATGCGGAACTATTCTTCCACAAGAAAGTCAGTCAACTCAAACCTGGCAGGAGGAGGAAAATGCTGTCTCAGGCGCTGCTTTGGGATATACTGTAATTGCTCGACTGGGGTCAGAGCTGGTGACAAAGGACACTGTGCTGTCAGAGGGGCTGGTCTTTGCATTGGATGGGTCAGTATTCAGAAGAATAGGGTTAAGCTTGGTGTCTCGACTAAATGCGCCTCTGGGCTTGCAAAACGTGCACCATATGGCCAACCAAAGTCTTACCTTAATTCAAAGGGTGAATTTGAACAGCTGCTGCATGTTACTCATGTGGTGGCTGCACTTTAGAGGTGGATGAATTGGGTCCCTATCTACTATATGTGTAAAGTGCTTTAGAAAAGTGCTATATAACTTCAATCATCTTTATAAGGCATTTATTTAATAATTTCTATAATAAAAAGGGCTTAGCTGTCCCCCACATAGACAGGGTACTTCTGAGATAGTTCTTTTTCTGTACAGCTTTACATTTTGCTCTTGGAACCAGGAATCCCACTTGGACATGCAGTACAATTTTATGTTTTATGAGTAAAATTCAACCATCCAGGCTGTAGTGGGGATCTTCCACACTGTGTGAACATTTTCTTTGGCTACGATCAGTAACACACACAGAATAAGAACATGGTAAAGTCTGGAAATCAGCTTAGCTTTTCCAACACAGACTGTCATTGTATGCGGTTAGGCCAACAGTTCTGCTGAGCTTTCATATGAAATAGCTACTCAATGCCTTCTACATTCAGCAACATTATTGTTTTGTGCGTTTAAAAGAAAATAACATCAGGGCAGACGCTGGCTGCACACACACTCTTCCTGAGATTTCCAGTCTGGTCGGGTGCACATCTCTGCAATGTCCAGTGCACACGCAACCTGGCCTGGGAACAGAGCACGGCTCCGGCAACATCGGACTCGGACAGGTCCTTAGCAGGACTGGTCATCCGAGACGTCATTCTCAACCGGCCGAGAGACCCAGCAAGACGGCAGAGGGCAGAGGGAGCTGTACGTGGCACTGTGTACCCTACAAACAGCAGACACACTGCTTCCTTATA